TAAATTTGGTATGAGCCCCATACCCTTTATTTTACTGGAGGAACAGATATTCTGGAAATCTAAGAGGAAAAAGATTAATTTAAATAGTATGAAATTGTAGCTGTTCTTCTTACATACAGTTTAACTGTCATTAACTGTTGAAGATACCAAGCTTAAAATGTTAGCCTTGTTATTTCACTTCCAGCTTTGTGGTAATTATTTTTCTATCATAGTCAAAAGAAAAGTGGAAACAAAAAATATTTAAAAAATAATAAAGTACAAAAAAACCCCCCAAACAGCTAAGATACTTACGGATGGTTTGTTCTTTTTCTTGTAGAAATCTTTCCAACACGATACGAGCCATCAATGATGGGGCAAAGTCCACCTTAGCCCAAGAAAAACAAAAACAGAATTTCAGGAGGTAAATGCATTTAGATGCACACTTATCAGAACTGTACTATATTTGTAGATTAAAACTAATGAGCAAAGTAGAGGAAACAGGATCTTTTTCCAATCATCAAACTCAACTATTTCCACCAAATATGTGGTAGTAATCCACAGTACCAGCGAAAAACCAAATAAAGTAGACAACATAAAATCCTGGTTATTATGTTTATACATTTTGCATCTGAACCACCCTTTGTAAAAGATGACCGTGAAATCCCTTTTATAAGGTTATCCATCAAGGAAAAGAAGTGGTGATCCTTTTCTATGTATGAATCCTCATTCATGTGGTACCCATCAAGTGATACCACATATCCTTAGCATCAATATCTCTAGCAGATGTGTTGGGCTCGGTCAAAATTACTTCAGAGTTTATATTTTGGTTTCTAACAAAGCTATTCCTTCATTTCAATTTTTTTTCATATATATGAAAAATGTATAACCTAATTGCTCCTAAAAATTACAATAGCTTTTTAGATGCCATTAAAATACTGCTTCAGTGAATCAGAATTTTAACTATGAGACAGGAAACCTTGATCACACATTGTCACAATTAATTCTTCTTGACATCTTTTCAAGTTCACTGTTGGTGCAAAAATTTTATCCTGATTTAGTAACTAGACAAAAAAGGTTACTCCATTTCTGCATACATATTTTTCCAAATATGTATGTACTTGGATGGCCTTAAATTCCCCAAGTAGAGAGAAATGCTTTCCATGGAGCTGCTTATTTCCAGTAACCCACATCAGAGCTGACACATGAAAAATGGTGAAATTACTGAAGGTAGTCCAGCCTGAATAAGGACTACCTTATTAGTTCAGGTACTTGCATCGCCCTAATTTTCATATTAATCATGTGTCCATCTTTCTTTGAAATAGGGCCATCATGCTTCATGTCAGAATTTAGCATGTAAGTAAAATTCATAGTGCTTCAAATCTCACTTGAAAATATTTGTATGAAGAGAACAGTGACTAATTTTATTGTTTCTAACAAAAATGTGATTTATTTTAGTCTTTTTGTATTACATATACAATACGAACAGTTGACAAACAATTTCATTAAAAAAAAAAGAATTAGAAGTACTTTTTTAAACCCTCAAAATACATCCCCAAAAGACAACAATATGGCGCTTTTCCTACTTAACAGAGCTGCTACATACTGTAATACAGCTATGTTATATATTTCTCATCAATTTTTACAGTTTCCACTGATTAAATATATATTGACTCATAAAGTATTACCATTACATCAATTGTCAGCAGATGCAAGAGTATGTCATTTAAATATTAACTATCATATAAAAATGGCAGCTTGATTGTTTGGAAGCAGTAATCTGGTGCTTGTTATTGCCACGTTTCCCTAATGCATTGGGTGGCAGTCACAAAATGCATTGCCTTTCTGATATACCTGCTACTACAAAACCAGAAACAAATAAGTTTTTTATGTATCTCCCCTTTCTCTTAGACTTAATTTTTATTTATTTCTGAACTGCAGGTATCTTTGATCTGAATTGCAAAAATGCATTAGTGAAAAATAAACAAAGATATGCTCACTGGAGTCAGAAATTATATGCATCATCTCTAAATCAATGCGAAAAATATACAAAGAACCAGTAACAGATATATTACTCTGTGCTTGAAATATTTTTATGACAGTTCCCATATAATATGGGTGCAATATATCATCCATTGGGATGTTTACCTAAATTCTTAGTAAGATTGTACTTATTTATGTAAAGTACATTCTATTCTCAGTACTTCAGGATTTGTCTTTTCCAGAGATGGTAAGAAGCTACACATTACCACTAATATGAAATAAATTCTTGATTCTATGCTAACTGTACGATCAGGTTACACAGACACTTCACAGACCATTAAAATCTTCAAGTAATTGATAGGTAATCGCTCATTTGCTGGCTGCAGCAATGTACATGAGAGAAAAACCATTCTTTTTTACTAATGTAACATGTAGAACTTGCTGCTATTGCTACACTTAATGCTCATAGTGCCATATCATTTTTAATGCAAACACTCATTTTCTACTTCCTTCTTACATTTTCTATTAAAATGCAACACAAAACAGCATATATTTCATTCTATCCCTTTGAGGATTGCATAAGCAGTTTCAGGTAGTATCAGCTATTGTACTGTTACTATTACAGTAAATAAATATTTTAAAGTTTAAAAAACAGGTATTTAATCAATTTCTTTTTTTCTAGGAAACTCCCTACCACTTGTTCAAACTTTTTCCTTCTTCTTTAATGTAGTACTAAGATAGCAGTTTTTAATACAAATAACACCTTGTATACCAAGGCAAATTCATATGCTAGTTAATAAACAGCATCAATAAATTTGTCAAGACTTTAATGGCATCCGTACAGAACTTTTCATACACTGAGGAATTTATTCTGCTTAAGTGCTTTACCTTAAGCAGTTTTCATTAGCCATCCTCTAATCTGTATGAACAGAAATAAATGAAGTCAGGAAAATTATCTGTTTTAAGCCTTCCTATCAAACTGATAGGAATCAAACTGATGCAACTGCATTTAATCCATGTGAGAATTTTTAGCAAGTTTATGCAATAAAGACCTGCAGTGTGTCAGAAATTTTCAGCAAAATACAAATTCAGGGTATCCTACCCATTTGCCTTGAAGTTAAAAGACTAATTACATGAACTGATTTATTAATAAATGTGGCTTTTTGTCTAATTATTTTAAGTACTAACAGACTGGGGAACCATTTTAAATGTCTAATGTGCCTTGAAACCATTTTTTTAGGTTAATTACATTTCTCAGTAAAGTCACTATAGATATGCCCCTCAGGTTTTACAGTGGAAGATTAAAGAAAAAAGAAAGATGATTACCTCATTGGCCAGGTCCAGTAATACTGGGGCAGCTGCATTTTTCATCACCCCATTCAGGTACCTAGACAAGACAAAGCCAGGTAATTTTGCAGTGGCAAGAAAAGGCCAGTTTATATATGTCAGCATCCCTTGTGAATGTTTTTCATTTGGGGGAAAACACCCCATTTAATGGGAAATCTTTTAAGAAGTAAGTACTTTAAGCAATCACTAACTTTCCAGGGTTGTCTCCTATTCTATTATATTCTATTCATCTGCAAAATATATCTATCTTAATTAAGACACTGGTAAAAAACCCAACATATCAAGAAATTAAAAAAATGTGGCTTAATGACACACAAATAAATTATGTCTGTACTACTTAAAGATGCATCACAGACAAATAAACCTCTATTATTCACAGTAAAGATTTTTGGCTCCACATGAGCTTCAACTGTGAAGGTGCACTGTATATCTTACCCAATTCCCTAGTACACACAAAAACATAAATTCTCAAATTTATTCCAGATTTTATCAGCTGGGCAGTAATTTAAATACTAAAGGCTTACTTTAGTGAAATCAGTCTAACAATTAATATTCTACAAAGAAAACAAGAAATATTTAGCATTCAATAAAGGTTGATAGAAAGTCATTATCCTATCAGTGGCAAAGGCTTAATGTTTCTAGTTGAGGGTATTACAGAATGATGCCTCTGACCATCAATTCACACAATGTCGCTTTCCTCACTTCTGTTACTTTCACTGTTTGATATTCAGATTTCAATAAAACCTGAAACCTGTGTTCAGAAGCTGATGGGAAGGAGCTATGATATTGGAAGCCACTTTGTGCTTTGCAGCCATGTGGAAAAGAACAATAGTTACCAACATTTGAACCTGCTCGTTTATCCTATCTGTATTCGCATAGCACATCATTACTGACATCATTAGAAGGCCACAGCCTTTCCAGCTCTATCATTATCTATCCATCAGAAGACACTCTTCTGCTCATTAGTTACAGGCATTAAAATTCTTTATCATTTTACCTTTCTGTGGAATGGGTGGCACACCTTCATAAAACCCCTTCACATAAGATTTGATAGAGGGCTTTTTGCTTGCAAATTATTCTGATGCTTAATGAATTAAGGAAACGAAAAAAGCTTTTTGCTGTAAACTATTTCGGTTCCACATTAAAAAAAAACCCACAAAACATATTCAAACATTGCAAATTTATAACAGAAGAAAATGAGATATCATACACAAAATACACAACCAGGAAAATGTACTTGAGATTAAAGTTCTCAAACATGCATCTAGATGATCGAACAGCAACAGTGAGAATGAAGTAAATTTCTGTCATATATTTCTAATGCTTCTGGCAACTCCATTATAGACTAACAGGTCTCACAAGCTGATGGCAATACAGTTCTGAAAACCTGCTGATCCTTCTTGTACTTTGTGCTTGCCTAAGTTTCAGACTAGCAAGTCTCAGCAAAGTGGAAGAAACTACTCTACTCAACTATTTTACTTGCTCCTAACAGGTACCACTGGAAATGTCTACCTTCAAAACTTGGTAGTTCTGACCTAATAAAGCAATGACAGTACAATTATCTGCTTGTATGTCGGCAGAAACACCAAGGAGCATAGCACTCAGTCTGGGGTTTACAGCAGTAAAGTGGATGATACAGAAGAGCAGAGGAGAAGACATGTTTGTCATATTTACGCCTGAAGTATTTCAAAGTGGCTTCTATCTGAAGTTGTCTGGTTCTGCAGCGTCCTGAACATACTACACTGTAAATCTATTAAAACAGGACTGAAATGAGTTTTTTAGCTATTGACCAGAATATCTCTGATTTTAAAACATGTGCATTTTACTCAGCCATGTTAATACACTTGCAAAATGACATACTCAGAAATAGCATAAAGAATGATTTTCCCTACCACTACCACACAGCTTCATACATAATGCATTAGTTATGCACTGCTATCATACTTCAGACTACAGAAGAAGACAGGAGACCAAATCCTCCTACCTGATGTGAGACAAACTTAATCATACCTACAACCCTACTGACACCAATACAACTGCTGCTTTGCATAAAGCAAAATCTTCTCCCATGTTTCAGGTTGAAGTTTCAGGCTGGAACTAGTGATTTACACATACTCTATGAAAAGGGTTACTTACGCAGCAGTTACAATTACCACTGGCTGCTTCACTGAAACTGTGCTAGTGAAAAATAATTAAAAGTAGTACTGTATACGCATGTTATTAGCAAAACAAAATTTTAAGCCAATATTCTTCCTAAACAAGAATCAACCCTAGGGAAAGTGTGATGTGATCCAGTACAAATTTTACAAAACAATACAACAACTAAAAAACTGAAATCAAACACCCAAACTAGTACATTTCACACTAGATATTCTAAACTAGTGTCTGATATAATCAGGTTGTGGTTAAGTTTTAAATACATGACTCTGGCAGAAGCACATTTAATTGTTTACAAATGAAGGCTCTTTGTTTATTTTCTTGATTCATACAGATTAGTATTAAGCACGAATATCATACATCACAAGTATGAATTCACTTGCCATGCATGCTCTTCAGATATGTCAGTCTACAAAGTAATATTTTAATTGCATATCTTTACCTGTTATCACTATGCCCCAATTATGTCACTGGAATATTTTTAGTAAAGCCTGTGGAACTAACAGAAAAACTACAAGGTGTAGCAAGCACAGTTTATTAGCTTAAGAGGCAAACAATTGTAAAATGACATAAAGGTTTTCATCCTCCCTTAAAAACTATTTCTGACACTTCTGTTGATAAAACAGGAGTGATCTAAAAATTAGTGCTTTAACTGGCAACACATGAATATGTAACTTTTTGTAATGTAACACAAATGTTGTTTTAAACAAGCAACTGTAACAGAACAAGCTCTCTTGCTGTAAAGGAAGTCATCAAAATCAGTCTTGACACAGAAATCCTAAAAATTACAAACTATAGGCAATATATAATAAATGTCATCACATACACTGGAAAAAATATTTGCTTATCCTGACTTAGAGCCAGGGAAGTAAACTCTTTCTTAATCAGAATGACCAAATCCTGAAAAAATTCTGTATTACCAGTGAAAAACATTTTTAGGTGAACCATTCTGTATTCCCAAATTCTTAATTTATTGTTATATAAAATTAGCTTAATAAGCTCATTTACTCACAACTGCTGTAAAAATCAGTAGCTACGATGAGAGTCTTAACTGGGGTGGGGAGGTCATACCTTTGGTAGTAAGTTTCGATAGCTTCAGCAGTGTGATGCTTGGCATGTGTTCTTTTGATTTGTTTCTAGAAAAATAAAAAAAACAGGACTTTTACAAAGGTGTCATAGATCAAAACACTGAAATCATGACTACACAAACACACGATCCTTGGCTATACTTTGATAGATGTGAACCATGCTTTTAGATTCCATACAGAAATGACATTCAATCTACCTATTGAATTGAACGCCTTCAGACTGTACTGCAATGTACCATATGTAAAAGCCAGTAAGGTCACAATAATTGAATCTAAATAAGTTTACTGAAGGCTGCTGAGGGCAAAGAAAAACTTGTTCTCTCTTTCAACCTTTGTATTAATTTTCCCTCAATTCAATTCCATCTAAGTCTGGTGCACTCTAGTTTTACAATTCAATTGGCATTTTTAACCAGGAAGAACATTGCTTAAAAACAACTTATTTGAAAAACTACAAAAAGTAATTCCGTAGAGACTTGCCACTTGACTGACACCTGTCATCTCATGATAAATGACTCCATTTTCTGCCTCTCTTGCCTTCTGCCACTCCGGCAATGGTCATTTATCATCATCTCTGTCAGCAATGGAAAGCAGCACTGACAGTGCAAGTCAGCAAACATTTAGCACATGGAACCACGCAACACAGGGAAATTATTATTGTCAGAATAATAATGGTTTAGCATAATTTATTACAGGTCCACCAAATAAGCAAAGGCTAGATGTTATTAGACAGATGGATGGGTAGGCTTGGCAGCCATCCACTGAGACTCAGGCGGTGCTTGATGTGGAAAAAGGAACATCCTCCAAACCAATCAGAAAGCTGGCAGTTCAATTACAAAGAAATAAAGGGACATTCATCATTCAATTAGGCACCTGTCAACCCTCACAAAGGAGAAAACTTCTAACCTGGTACTCCTGGGAGAAGATGCTCAGCAGAGTGGACTGCGATTGACTGGAACAAATAAAAGAAGGACAAAGTTAATTACTGGAGTGCACTGCAAAGAAACAAAAGAGAAGGGAGCTTCAAAGGTAGGCCTGCTGCCCTGTAATCTAACAGAACATGAAAACAAGTGTGGAAAAGTTGTTCCAGATGAACACCTCAGACAAAGGCTTCCTGCTGCTAGGTCAAGGAGAGAGAGTATGAGGGAGGGGAGGAAAATATAGCAAGAACTTCAAATCAAACTAGCATACTGTTTGGGTGATTCAACTTCAGAACCCAAAAGTCCTACCAGGAGCAAGTAGTGGAGCTAAAAGGTAACAGGGATAAAAGGAAATTAAAGCAAAATTTCCATTAAAAATTGATGGAGTTAAATTCCATCAGCAGTTGGGAACATGCCGCTTGTTCATTGGCAACATATTGAAATTCATTTTGTTAGCAGCAAGGAAACTTCTTCAGTAGCTGTCTCATATTCAGGTTAAAAACTTCCCCTCTGTCAGAAGTAGCATATGGGACCAGTGGAACATTCCCACTGAAACTGATGCGCTTTGAAAATGGAAACTTTCACAGCAGGAAGCCAAGATTCCCCGGAGTCGGTCATTTCCAAAAGCTGCCATAAGCTTCATTCATCTACGGCTCCACTCAATGTCGAACACCTGGCAATGAAGCAACCTGGAAAGCATTCTTCCCAAGTGGGAATTTTTCTCTCTGAATTGTTAACATTTAGAAAAGAGACAAGATTTTTTTCCTCTGAAAGGCAATCAATACCACACCGCTACTGTTTTCAATTGTCCTCTGTGGATATATCTACCTCATCACATCCTGAGTACTACTAATTACTCCTGATATATTTTTCTACTACATGCAACTTGAACAAATTATAGCCTCAATAAATCGAGTTTTATGGTACAGCAAAGCATTATGAATAATTAACATTTTTTCCTCCCATGAACTTACCTACTATGGCACAGCATAGGTAGTTCAAAGATTCCATAATGTCTAAAGTCTCACTCTTCTGTCAGATTTCTTGTATGTGAATTTAACACCTGTATCACATCATAATTACATTAAAAGTACATATTCTCTCCATACATAAATGACCCTTCTCCTTCCAACTCTCACACTTCAGAAACACTAATTTAAAATGAGGAAGTCCTACTCTCACTTTCAAAAGGGAACAATGAGGCACAAAACAACTAAACGGTTGGATCAATGTTAAACAGACAGTATGTATATGCAGCATGGTATAAAGTTACCTCTAAACCAAGCAGCTGAAGAATCAGGAACAAAGTGACTAGATCAGTGCAGTACTGTATAAAGAACTTACAAGTATACCTTATCCATAGCTGTGCTTCCAGGTTTTTTGCCATAACTTTGTATTTTGGGCTTGTCTGCCCAGCGCAACATCTGCGTGACAGCAGTAAGCTGAGCCTTGATCTTTGGTATTTTACACATGGGACTGTTCACCCGGAGTACTCACTGAGACTGCATGTTAAAACTGTAGAACAATGATAGAAACAGAAACTGACTAATATATATATATTAAATTAATGGATTACAGAAAAAATAAGTCAAATACAGTAAAGAATTTAAATTGTAATAGTTTCTAGTCAAATAAAGTAAACAGTATTTAAATAAAAAATATTTATTTAAATATACACATGACATAGAGGCCAGGAGTTACATACCACAAACATTGTGGAGTTACAAAGCCTCTCCAAAAGGTGCACAATCCAATTATGACAACCTGCAACCTGCACATGTAATCACTAGAAGGTGAACAAAGGAAAGAAATTAAGATTATATACTTACACAGGCTATACACATACAGAAAGCTAAGATATTTCAAGTTGATTAAAAAAAAAAAAAACCCAAACCTGCAGGTTATAAATAAGTTGGATATATATGGCCCCCTAATGGCTCACCACATAACTATTATTACCTTGTAGATTTACATGGTCATAATGGTAGAACTGAATTTAGAGACAGATGTGGGAAAAATCCCAGAACAGATCAGGACAGCATTTGACTAGATCTCTGGTTTGAGTTCTCCTCCACTGACATAGTAATTTTTGTGGTTTTAGGCTATTCCTGGTATGTTAACTATACTTATACTCTCATTATCCTATTAAACACTGACACTGGCATATATAAAAAAAAAAACCAACTAAGACCATTATCCCTCCCTCCCTTTACATTCCACCTTTAATGGCAGACTTAGAAATGCCAGGTTAATGACCATGATGGCCTTCAAGGTCTTCTCAAAATTAAATGTTTCTCTTATTCTTGTCCATTATATTTGTCCCCTTAGTGTCCTTGGATTTTGACCTACTTCAATTTAGTTCAACACTCCTTTCCTATGGAACAGTCTTTCCAACTGTTCAGATAATTTAGGACCTAGCACGAATACTGAAAAAATTCATTCCAATAACAGTGCAAATTGGATATATACTGGATTGCAGTACATACACTTTATCACTGGGGCAAAGAGAATTATTTCAATAACATCATTCAAATAATTACAAGCCTTATTACTGGATGATCTTTCCCTTTCTCCAGGAGAAGTGGATTTATATCTTTACATGGCTGCTTCCATGTTTCTTTTGGTTAACATCGTTCCTGTCTTAAAAACTAAAACCACTCATCCGCCACTCAGTGTTTCCTTGCTACAATTTCATTGAGACAACTTCCTGGCCAAATGAAGTAGCTCTTCAAAACACAGATGGAGCATCTATGGCAAGATCTTAGTGAGTGAAAACTGAAACATCATGGTTTCAGAAAGCACCGAAAAAGACACTACTGTGTACTTGGAGAGGGAAGAGAAATCATGAATGTGAATTTGAATAGAAAAACAGCACAATCACAACTGCTGATACTGACAGCAGGAATACTACCATAGAAGTTATCATTACTTCTAGAGGAACAGCTAAATTCCCAGGGCTCCATCCATCCTCTGATACTTCTATACAAGATTTCAAAGCAACAAATGAGCAGACAAATGTATTTATCGCTGAGCTATCCAGGAAAACAAACGTAACACTGAAAGTGGCTTTTTATTCAAAATAACATTTGAGTACTGTGTTATTGCCTTTCATGGAATAAACTACATAGTAAGCCTCATGCCTTACTTGAAGACTAGGAATATAGATGTTTGTGACAAGCAGATACTTTTGTTGAGAAACAACTGTAGAGCCAAGGTATATAACTGCTGATTTTCTGAAACAAATGAACAAAAACCCAGAAGCCATAATTCTGAGTACTACTGCATTTAAACATTTAATATTCTAACCTGTTATCCCTCCTGTAAAACTCAGTATATTGTCCAGGGAAATAAGCAAATTTTTCTCAGTTCAGCAGTTCTGTAGTGACAACTTTCATGGAAACATTTTCTTCTGCAATTCTAGACAGTAATGAATCTAACTCCCAGAGCTCTGTTCAAAGCATCCAGCCTCACTCTTTAGATATCCTTTTTTACTTGTATACTGGCATCCACAGTGACGCCAATTTACCTTTTGTTACTCCATGTCAGTGTCAGCAGCATACTTCCATCTGAATGCCTGATGTATTTCATGCTCTTGTCAATACTTAAGTGGATTTGAGCAGAAAACTGAAAGCTGAAGTTGGCTAAAAATGCCCATTTTTTAATGATAAAAATACTTCTATTTTATAAAATGAAGTGTAAGTTCTAGGTTACAAGTGATATAAAGATATAAAAATTTGCTTGCCATAAAAAAAAAATAGTATTACAGTTATTAAAGTTACTTCTAATACACAAATCCAACATTTAGAAGGGGATGCCCAAGACAGTCCAGAAAAAGGGATAAGAAAAATGATCTCTAAGAACTTAGATATCATTTAAGCTAGAAAGAGCTTGGTGCTTGGAAAAGAATATGCCCTTTGGTCAATTACTAAATAAGTATAAAATTTAGACCATTCTCTTCTAATGAATCTCAGAATTTGAAGACAAGGAATGCTATAATCCCTGGAGAGTGTTTCAGAAATGTTCTGGTTTGCAATGAGTACTCATATATAAAGTAGTAACAGGTAAGTTACTACTTCATATAAGCAGTTTACTGCTTTGTAGCTAGATACAAAACTTTGGCTAAGAAGCAGCTAGTAATGATGAAAGCAATTTAATTGTATCAGATCATCACCTCAACAAAACAGAATTGCAGATGCAACCAAGATTTGGAGTGCTGTCCAGCTTAATACTTGCTACTTACTTCAGCCTCACAAGCATAGCAAATGTTATGCAAATATTATACTATCAGACCTTGCAAATAATGAATTCTTTACAGTTAAGATGAAACTTAGAGTTTTTATTTTCTGAGACTACTGAAAACATGGATTTGTAGGTGCAAACCAAGATTTCACTTGTTTTATGTTTCATGTTTTATAATGAGTTTCCTTTCCCTCACTTTTAACTTCACATTTGTTGCCTAAAGTACAAAGAGTAAAAAATCAGTTTCACATTTAGTGTATTTTATCATGGAACAAAGGAAGAGTATCTAGAGAGATTTCACACAAGTGGAGGCAAGAAGGGGGAAAGCATAGTCCATAAGACAAATATGTTATATATAAACAGAATAGCTTAATTGTTTCTTTTTCACAAAATTGAATATTCCACCTTATTAAAACGATAAATATATTGGTTAAAAACTGAGTGTAGGGGCAGGAGCTGTGTTTCCAAAATTCAGAAGCTGTTACATGAGAAATCCCAAAGCTGCAGTGTCAAACCTTCTTCCTGAAGAACATACACTGCCACTTAGCTACAGAAGGAATTCAATAAGGGGGGAAAATTGTTTCTTCTACAATCTCTAGTGAGTATGCATTGCATATCATGATATGAAAGTCCTAAAGTTCTAAAATAGATAGCAAGAGTCTCTCATTTCTTTAAACTGGAAAAGAACTTCCCCTTTCCATGCATAGTAAGTTTAAAAATACTTTTACTGGCACAATATTGAGAATTAAAATAAAAGTAATAGGGCTAGAACTGTGTGGTGCTGCCATGCCAA